TCTAGGTTCTGCTTTCTGTCCTGCTCCAATTCTGGGTTCTTCTAGTCTTGTCTTGTTATCTTGTTTGGTGCCTGTTCTAGTCTTACCTTGTTTCTAGTACTGGATACATATCTGCATAACATTCAGCTCCTGGCTTCTGCGAAGCTGCATCAGGGTTCTGGTATTTGGCCGCACAAACGCTGGTGCACAACACCAGGGGACGAGTGCTTACCCTGCACCAGACCCTGGTTGTCCACTACCACGCTAAGACTCCTATCATCTACATCAGGCACACAGGGGTCCCGGTCTTTGGACCGCTACCTGTGACACTATGAAGGTTTTGCTCTATTTTTTGATCTTAAGATCTAATAATATTTTTGGCTTTTGGAATCATCCCTTTGTCTGCGTTCTGTGTCATGAAGTTAACTTACAAATTTATGGGATTATTATTTACCTGATGGAGCTTTTTGTCTAGGAATTTTTTTACTCTGAGGTATGTAAAGATATCTTTGCTTTTAATGTAATGCTCTGATTGTAGTTTAGAGAAAGTTTTTATTTATAAATAGATCTTTTAATGTCACTATTCCTTTTAATTCCCATTGTTTTATATCTAAATCTTGTATGTTGGGCATCAGGACCTGTGTTGGGAAACTGTTAAGGACCTTATTTTGTATTCGCATCTGGCATTTTAGAATTGGGTCAGTTGTTGAATTATCATGGAGTTCACTTCTTGTTTTTTTCTCTTGTTGTCTAGATAAATTGACCATAAGTGAGACCCTAGATTTCTAACTTTGGTCATGCCTGCTTCAATTTTTTGCCATGTTGCTTTCAGATTAAAAGTCTGATATTCTCTAATCATTGGAACTCCAAGATCCCCCCTTGCTAATTTTTCTGATAGTATTCGTAGGCAGATTCTTGGCAAATGATGTTTGGATCATTTTAAGCCAATGTATTGTCAAATCAAGATGTAGATCCATTTTGGTAGGACATATGCTCTCACTGTGTTAATTCTGCCTCTCCATGATATTTCCTTCTTTTTCCAGTCTTTGAGGTTTTTATTCATTACTTTCAGTATTGTTAAAAAATTAGTTTCTAATATTTTTTAGGGTCTCAAGTTAGTTTAATCCCTAAGTAGTTTAAGGTATCATTGGCTCATATAAAGTTGTACTTGTCATTGATATGATGATTCTGTATAGTTGGAAGATTAATTGCATTTATAAAACATTTGTTTGTATTCAATTTGTAATTTGAAACAACACTGTAGTTATTGATTATCTCCATCAGGGCATCTAACAAAGTACTTGGTTTTTGTAAAGTCACAAGTATGTAGTTCGCATATAGTTGAATTTTTGTTTGTTCTTGACCGTATACAAAACCTTTTATTTCTCTGTTCTTTATTATATATTCATGGCTAGTGGTTAAGATAAACAATAGTGGTGATGGGGGGCATCCCTGTTTGGTCCCATTTCCAATGTCAACCAATAATTCTAGCCTCTGGGGAATGGCATAATGGCATAACAGCTTTAAAAAACATACCATTAAAACCAAATGCAACTAGTATCTGTTCCATAAATTTCCAGCTGACCCTGTCATAGTTACATAGTTACATAGCTGAAAAGAGACTTGCGTCCATCAAGTTCGGCCTTTCTCACATTTGTAAGGCTTTGTCGAAGGCTTTCTCTCCATCCAGCGACAGGGCCAGCATTGGGGTTCCCCTGGAGTGCGCCACATCTGAGGATGACCTGCCCACTACAAATCCTACTTGGTCTGTGAGATAGTTAGATATGTGGTTGGGATTATTATCCGGTTTTAATATTGGGATTATGTTGGCAGACAGCATTTCTTTTAGAAAGTAATTACTTGCTATACTTTCGTTAAATGTTCGAAGTAGTTTGACTGATAATTGGTCTTTAAATGTCTTATAAAATAAGGTGGAATAACCATCTGGTCCAGGAGTTTTGTCTTTTTTTTAAAAATTGGTTTATTTAAATTATTTAGTTGATCTGTATCCAATTTCGGAAGTTGTTTGTCCTTAAAATATTCTTGGGGTTTATGTAAATCTGTGTTATTTGGGAGATTTTATAGAGAGTGGTAGTCTTTACTAAAGGCTTCACCTATCTTTTAAGGTGAATCATACATTTTATTTTGTATATCTAATTTATGTCTGTTTTTTGTTGACCTTTTTCTCCCTTAATTTTTGTGTTAGTAATTTGTCAGCTCTATTGCCTTTGTATTACCAATTGATCTTTAAATATTCTAGTTTTTTTTTATTTCTGTTCTAAAGTTCTTTAATTGATTTTATTTTGGATCTCCATTATTTGACCAGTTATGCTTTTATTTAGTAAAACTTTATTTTCCTATTCTAACTTGTGTAATAAAATATATAATTCTGTTAAAGGGAGGCCTCTTTCCTTTTTTATGGTTGATCCTATTTTAATAAAGTTCCCTCTCACAACACTTTACATGGTACACCAGTCTATAGGGAAGGATACTCCCTTGTCTTTGTTTTCCTTAAAAAAAAGTCTATCTCTTTCCCCATGTGGTCTATATTTTGCTTATCATATATGATGTTATTATTTAACCTCTAGTTATTCCTTATACCTTTATTATTATTGTTTAATATGTCCATAACTATAGAGTTATGGTCTGACCAGGTAGTTTCTTTAATGAAGATTTTATTAACCTTATTTATCATATTCAGGTTAATTAAAACCAGGTCAATCTTCGAATATGTCAGATGGGTCCTAGAGAAACATGTGTAATCTTTTTCCTGTAGATGTAATATTCTCCAGATGTCATACAGATTGTGACGGTTTATGATTTGTTAGAATTGTTGAGCGTACATATTCACCTGTCTACTATGCGGCACCCTCCTGGGGACCTCTTATCTAAGTCCCGATTTAGAATTCTATTAAAATCTCCAGCTATAATTAGTTCCCCTTGTCTGATTTTTTTTCTGTTTTTTTCAAAAACGTTTCTGAAAAAATTATTGGATGAACCATTGGGGGCATACAGATTGATCAAAATATCTAATATCTATGTCACAAATTAAAATTATAAACCTGCCGTCTCTATCTACCTCCTGATGTATGCTTCAGATGTCAAGATCCCTGTCTATAAGGACAGCTACTCCCCAATTTTTTATGTTCCGGGGATGGTGTTATAACTTATACATATCTAGTTGGTATAAATCTAAGGTTATCTGTTTTTCCAGTCAGTTTCTTGTAAGATGTAAGATTATTTTTTAAGATGTTCAAAAAACATAGTTCTCTTATTAGGGGAGTTAAGTCCTTGTTTATTAATAGAAATAACTCTGATCATAACTAGACCACATCAGAAGGTAGTTTTGAGAAGCTGCATCTCACCCATGCATCTATAAACAAAGACATACATAAAAATATACATAAAAAACATAAAATTGGGATTTCCTAGTTACAGGAAGTCCAATATAATTGTGTCATTATAAGACACATAAACTAGACTTTTCTCCTAAAAGTCTAGATCTGGGATTTCTGCCGATGACTCGGCAGGAATCCTTTTTAGGAGAAGATTATTTGAGGAGGTCGGTGAGTAGAGCACCCTCTGTTGTGAAAATGTGTGCATCTTCAATATCCCTTGTTGTATATTCTGTATTGTTTCCGGTTGTCACCAGTGTGTTACTGAAAAAGTATCTACTTTCTATAGAAAAATAAATAAATAAAATAACAGTTTAAAGGATAATTCTCCTTCCCCCCCTTACCCTTCTCCTTCTGCTCTCTTTTTGTGCTTTAAGTGAACAAGGAAATAACTATCCCTTTATGTTGTGTTTTAGATCTTAAATTGATCTAATTTGTGCAGTTATATTCATATGAGTCTTATTTCCATTTCCCTTTAAATTATGTATCTAATTCTCATTTTAATATTATTAAAGTGAAGATAAATTATATATATATATATATATATATATATACATACATTTTCCTTCTTTTTTTTTTTAAAGTGTATATATACTCTTTTCTTTCATCCTTCCTTTCCTTTTCCTTTAGTGCATTTCTATATCTTATTCCTCTTCTATACATTTTTATTGTGAAATACTCTTAAATAAGAAGGGAAATAATCATCTCTTTGTATTGTTTCAAAACTTTAATTAATATCCATTGTGCAGTTATATCAATTATTAAACTTATTTCAATTTGTCTTTATATCATGTTTCCAGCTCTCAGTTTATCTCCTTTGTGTCATTACATATCTTGTGTGAGAGGAAAAAAATCAAACAAATTCCCATCAGTTTGTCTCATTTTCCCGCCTCTCCCCCTCCCTCCTCTTCCTTTTTCCCTTTCTCTTCTTTCTTCTCTTTGTTATTGGTTATTCCTCTTGTCCAAGGCTTGTTATGTAGTTATTTTTTTGAGCTTCAGCCAATTCTGGACTTCTTCTGGTGAGGTGAAGCTTACCTGTTTTTCATATGTGGTTATCACCTTGGTGGGAAATTCCCATTTGTATTTTAAATTATTTTTCCTTGCGTAGTTTACTGAGTTAAAGCGGCATCTTCTTTCTCTTGTTCAGAATGAGAGGTCAGGGAAAATTTTAATATCGCCGTATTTCCCGTCCTCCAGATTTGTATTTCTAAACACTCTCAGGATTTGTTCTTTGAATAAATAGCAATGACAGCATATTATAATATCTCTCGGAACATTTACGTTCAATTTGCTTGGTTTTGGTATTCTGTGACATATTTCCAAGGCGTTCTTTGTTGGGATGTCTGTCACTTTTAAATCTTTAAATAATTGTGTGGCGAAAGCAGGGGCATACCTAGAGCATTTGGCACCCGGGGCGGGTCCTGTGCTTGGCACTCCTTTAAAAAAAAACAAAAGCCCCGCCACCAGTGCCAGTTTGGCTCCGCCTCTGATTTTGCTTAGCTCCGCCCCACTTTTCCTCCGTGCTGCCAGTTTATCAGCTATTTGTTTGTGTGAGCTGTACTGGTCGCACGGCACCCTAACTACCATGGGGCACTGTGCGGCCACAGCTCACACAGCCCCCTCCACCCAGGGCCGGTGCAAGGATTTTTGCCGCCCTAGGCAAAAGTAAAGTTTGCCGCCCCCCCATGTGACATCACAATGCCCCACCCATATGATTTGCCATGTTATCTAACGCCAGTGCTGCAGTGCCGCCATGTTTACATTAAAAGGCCTGCAGGGACAGGCTATAGACACCAGAACCACTACATTAAACTGCAGTGGTACTGGGGACTATAGTGTTTCTTTAATGTGAGGTAAATTAGAGATTAGTGCCATGAATAATATACTAGATTGCCTACTTACAACCATATGAGAATGATGATGGGCTCTAGCTGCAGTCTGGCTCCACTGGTCTGGTGTAGAAACGGCTCTCTGGAGGTGGTTTGTAACTGTGGTCACAAAAATCAATGTTCTGGGAGAACGGGAAGCAGCTCCATTTTTTGGGGGCCCTTTACACAGCTCAAGGTCTGGGTCCCAGGGTCCACCTTCAAGTTCCACCAATGAGTTTGTTCACAGGGAGTGGAGTGTGTGTGTGGGGGATGTCCTGATGTGTGTAAGGAATGCATTGTGTGAATCTGTGTTTGTATGTGTAAGGGCTGCAAGGTGTGTTTCTGTGTATGTACGGGATGCATTGAGTGTGTGTAAGGGGTGCATTGAGTGTGTGTAATGAATGCATTGTGTGTTTCTGTGTGTGTAAGGGATGCATTGTGTGTAATGATTGCATTGCTTGTGTATGTGTGTCTGTGTGTATAATGCATTGTGTTTTTTTCTGTGTGCAAGGGGTGCATTGTGTGTGATGAATGTCAATCTCTCTCCCCCTTCAATTTCCTTCTCTCACCCCCTCCAATTTCCCTCCACCTCCCTCTTTCTTTATCCCCCTCTCCAATTTCCTTCTCCCCCTCCCAATTTCTTTCTTTATCCCCCCTCCCAATTTCTTTCTTTATCCCCCTCTCCAATTTCCTTCCCCCCTCCCAATCTCTCCTTATCCCCCCAATCTCTCCTTATCCCCCCTCCCAATCTCTCCTTATCCCCATCTCTCCTTATCCCCCCAATCTCTCCTTATCCCCCCATCTCTCCTTATCCCCCTCCCAATCTCTCCTTATCCCCCATCTCTCCTTATCCCCCAATCTCTCCGTATCCCCCCAATCTCTCCTTAATCCACAGCTCCTTTCCGTTTTTCAGACTCCCACTCCCATCAGGCTCGGCTTCCAGGCTCTCCTAGGCTCCACAGTCACTGTGCCCCTCTTCGTCTTTCTCCTGTTATCCAAGCCTCGTGATAGCTCCTCCGTCCTCTCCGTTTCTAAGCTAGTGTATTTACCGATCTCTCGGTTTGGTTCAGTATTTGGTCACAGCACCACGAGACTACAGCATCTATGCTTCCCGTCGATGTCCTCGGATACTCCCCAGATCGTGCGTGCTTAGTGTTTTTTTTTTATTTTTTTTTTTCAGTTGAGAGGGCTTTCCTCTTGTTTGGGAATATTGTTAGGCTAACCTTACAATAAATTATACCTTATTTTATTTTCCTACTTAAAGGGATACTCTGATTATCATAGCCACTTTATCTCAATGTCACCTTACATTCCAGTGTGTTAAAACATTTTCAAATGGTTTAACAGAAGTATTGTCCCCAGGTGCCCTTTATGCAGCCATTCTTCTGGTAGTCAGCCAACGCAGAAGCATTAAATCGAGCAGCAATGGACAGCATTGGAAGACTAAGAATGTCAGCTTACACTCTTAGCCATTTACTGTCGCCCATCACTGATCAAGCAAAGCACTCACTATTAGCTGAACACCAGACAAGATTCAATGAGAGAGGCATATGGAGAAAATAACTTTGTATTAAACCAGTCGGAAAAAAATAGAGTAACAATAAAAGATAAGATAACATCTGGAAAATTTAATTCCCGTCACCGGATGCCTGGAACATATAGTTCCTGAGGATTACATGCAGTTTATTTCATGTCTTTTAGCCCTGCTGCAGCAACCTAGCAGCTGCACAAGTGCCTGGGTACACAAAAAAGGTTCAGAACTGGGAGTGTGTGGTCTGCGGGACAAGTGGGTGCTCCCTCGGGCCTGCTACTTATTAATGAGTTAGAGAGCAGCCTGTACTATTATTCACTAAGCATTGATACTATGTGGGAATAATTACTGTACTTTGCACCCACCTCAGGTGCATGCTACACACCACCCACTCGATTACTAGGGTGTTTAACCCCTGCTAGTCCACCAGGGATAATAGCAAACACATGACACACAGCACACACCACACACAGCCAAGACATTTAGACACACACAGTCAGGGCTGCCATCAGAAAGTCTGCCGCCCCCCCATGTGACATCACAATGCCCCACCCATATGGTCTGCCATGTTAACTAACACCAGTGCTGCAGTGCCGCCATGTTTACATTAAAAGGCCTGCAGGGACAGGCTAGACACCAGAACCACTACATTAAGCTGCAGTGGTTCTGGGGACTATAGTGTCCCTTTAATGTGAGGTAAATTAGAGATTAGTGCCACGAATAATATACTAGATTTCCTACTTACAACCAGATGAGGATGATGATGGGCTCTAGCTGCCGTCTGGCTCCACTGGTCTGGTGTACAACAGGCTCTCTGGAGGCGGTTTGTAACTGTGGTCACAAAAATCACTGTTCTGGGAGAACGGGAAGCAGCTCCATTTTTTTGAGGGCCCTTTACACAGCTCAAGGTCTGGGTCCCAGGGTCCACCTTCAAGTTCCACCAATGAGTTTGTTCACAGGGAGTGGAGTGTGTGTGTGGGGGATGTCCTGATGTGTGTAAGGAATGCATTGTGTGAATCTGTGTTTGTATGTGTAAGGGCTGCAAGATGAGTTTGTGTATGTATGGGATGCAGTGTGTGCGTCTGTAAGGGATGCATTGAGTGTGTGTAAGGGGTGCATTGCTTGTGTACGTGTGTCTGTGTGTAATGCATTGTGTGTTTTTCTGTGTGCAAGGGGTGCATTGTGTGTGATGGATGTCAATCTCTCCCCCCCCCCGTCAATTTCCTCCCCCCCTCCAATTTCCTTCTTCTCCCCCTCTCCCTTCTCCCCCCCTCTAATTTCCTTCCTCCCTCCCTCAAATTTCCTTCCTCTCCCCCTCCCTCAAATTTCCTTCCTCCCCCCCTCCCTCAAATTTCCTTCCTCTCACCCCATTTCATTCCTTCCCCCCCTCCCTCAAATTTCATTCCTTCCCCCCCTCCCATTTCATTCCTCCACCCCACTCCCATTTTATTCTCTCCCCCTTCCCATTTCATTCCTCCACCCCCCTCGAATTTCATTCTCCCCCCCCGGCCGATACCCGGCGGGCGCGCGAGGGAGCACTCTCGGTGTGCTTCCTCTTCAGCTCCCTTGCGCGCTGCGAACTGATGCCGGAGCCGGAAGATGACCTCTGGGGGGCCCTGAGTTGACCGGCTGCTGGGCCCCCCAGGAGAAGAGGCTGGCCCTGTGGGTACATAACGGGTCGCAGGGGCCCCTGCGACCCGGTATGTACCCACTGAATGTGGGGCCCGGACGACCTGAGCAGTCCGGGCCCCCCAGGACCGCCGGGCCCATGACAACCGTTGCGGTTGTCATGCCATGATGGCGGCCATGCACACAGTTGCACATTACACACAGCCAGCACACACCACAGTCACCGCCCACACATTGTGGGGTGGGAACAGAGGGAGAATGTGAGGGAAGAAGGTGAAACATTAAGAATTATCCACTAAACTGAATATTTACAAATTCTGAATTTAAAAACTGAAGCAGAAGTCTGTTAAATTATTTTGTATGCTAGGAAGGTAGCTAAGGCTATATCATTAATCCTTGAACAAGTGGTTATGGTGCCTGGAGTATCCTTTTAATGTTAAAGCCACACTCCTGGCACCAGCAAAACTGGTTTAAAAATGTAATGCCTCATTTTCCTGATGTACTTTTGTCTGTACTCAAATCTCTTCAGTTTTGATTAAAAGGAAAAATTGCTTCTTGGTCTCTTTTTTTGGTTAAGCTGTGCAGGTAAACTGAAGATAAATGCAAGGAAGATGTCTTGTGAAAAGGGGAATCGGGTGTAACTATGCTTCAGAAATCTGCAAAAATACAATAAGGCCCCTACATTCACAAGGAAAGGGTGCATAATTTTAGGTCACAGGTTACTAGCTAAATCACATAGGTACTTGCCACCCGAAATAAATGCATAGATTTTTGTTTCACATTTATTGAGCTGCACCCCCCAGTGAGATTTATGGGAACTGCAATTTACTTCAGATTTTTCACAAAGCATTGGTCCAAATACACTAATAAACACACATTTAGCCCTTTAGTCATCTTGTGTGCATTGTGTGTGAGGAGCATTTTGACATTCTTTCTACTACATATATAAATAGCATTTCCCATTCAGGGCACTCCTTGATTGCCAACCATATTCTCCTTGAAAAGGGGATGGGCTGGCAGTATTAGAAGCAATGTGGGCTTTACTCCCTGGAAGGAGTAAGAACTGCATAAAAGGTGCAGACTTCCCAAGTCTTTCGGAGCTTAATGGAGACTCACACATTTTGAATGTGGCTCAGTGACCCTCGCAAATCATATAGAATATGCTGGAAATCACACAGAATCTGACATACAGTGTGTGTGTGTGTGAATACCATTTTATTGTGTATGATTTGCGCCCCCTCCCTTTAATACTTGCCAGTCGGGTGCCGGGCCCCTGTAATATCAGCCTGCAGTAAGGACTGGAGGGAGGAGGAGGCTTCACAGAGAGCCACCCAGGAAGAATGGATGGAGGAGAAGGCAGGAGCACACAGCAGCATGGAGGCAGTTGAGAGGATACAGTCTGTATTTGAGTGTATGTGCAGTGTGTGTATCTGTATATCATTGTGTGTCTCAGTGTGTTTATCTGCATGTCAATGGGTGTATCCGAGTATGTCAGAGTGTGTATTTGAGTGTACGTGCCAGTGTGTGTGTATGAATGTGTGTATCTGAATGTGTGTGAATGTGCCAGTGTGTTTATCTGTTTGTGTATGTGCCAGTTCATGTATCTGTGTGTCAAGGTGTTCATGCATGTTTGGTGGTTGTGTGTGGGGTGGGAGACTCTGTGGCTGGTGAAACCACCTCCATGAAATTAATTTTTGCATGTTGGGATGTCTGAAGGTGTGTACACAATGACACTGATCCAACTGGCAGCCTCAGTAAAACTGCAACGTCCTCCAAAGTGCTCAAGTCTCTCTCTCACTTTTTACTTCACTGTCCATGGGGACAGATGTGGGAGGTATAATTTA